TGATTTTCCATGTGTGAATTTCGGTGTATTTAAGGGTTTAAGGGATTTTGGGGTTGATTGTGAGAAAAATGGATTTTGGCCTTCATGGCCTAAATCTAGTATTGAGAACTCTGATGATTGTGGTGTAGTGGTAAGTATTCCTGACAGTGAAAGCATAGATATGAGCAATAGTGATCTTTGGTCTAAATCTATTATAGGTGAATCTAACCGTAGAATTCATTGGGGAAAAGGAAAAATAGGCCTTCGTGGCCAAAACTATGATTTGAACCTGTCTGACCCTAAAGGAATATGAATATTTAATAGTGAGTAACTCTGATGCCTTTGGGGCAATTGTAAGGAAATTGTGATTTAGGGCGTCAATATGATACGGGATTGGCCTAATGAACCGTAGGTTTTGTGCCTTTATCGCCGTAAGACCTTAGGGATGATTTAGGGATGTTTTGGGGGCATTGGGGAAATGAATCGTGGGGCTTTTTGACTGATTTGAGGTTCTGGTGCATAACAGCAGTTGTTGTCATCACGCAGTTTGCCTAGCAAAGAAAGCTTCGCCTAGCGAACACTGTTGTTCCCAGACTCGCCTAGCGAAGAATCCTTCGTCTAGCGAATAAACTCTCCCCAGACTCGCCTAGAGAACATGCCAGCAAACGCAACAGAGTTTCGCAAATGTTGATCGTGTGCAACGATGCTTTGATGTTTGATTCTGTGATTTCTTTGACGAATTAACATGAGTAGAACTGTGAAGTTTATGTGATTAATAGGCGATAGTATGAAGATTACCGCGGATATATTTATGAATTAATATGTGATAATATGATGATTTCTCTGATGTATGATGATGATTATTATGATGAGTTATGATGACATGATGTATAATGATGATGATTGTGATGAGCTATGATAACGTGATGTATGATGATGATTATTATGATGAGCTATGATGACATGATGTATGATGATGATTATGATGATGAGCTATGACGTTTGATGATGATGAATATGATGAATGATGATGCACCTATGATGTTATTATGATGATGATTTGTGACGTGTGCATCATGCATTCAAGTGCATCCGAACTTCGGTTCAGGACCGCGATTACTTTGGCTTCAATCCCATTGTGTGGATGTGAAGTATTTTGATGTGCTTTGGTTCTCTAGTAGAATCGATCCTATTGATGGAGATCTATGGAGGGTTGATGGCCCAGTGTCCATCGCGCTGTGATGATTAGTACCACATGCATTGAGTCTTGTTGCATTGCATTTATGAGTCTTTTTGTATGAATTATGATGTTGTGGCCTTTGAGGCCTATTAAAGGATATGAATGTGTTGAATATGAAAATGACGTTGTTTTATATGTTTATTTTTATACATTGATTATTATGAATCATTTTATTCACCCTGCCTGTTAGAATGTTACCTCCACGTGGGTAACGTGCAGATGACCAGGTTTAGCCGTGGACATCGTCGAGGATATTTTTGAAGTTTTTAGTTGTTAGCCTTTTGGTTAACTTAGAGGGTCTTGCTCTGATATGTAACATCGGGTTGGGGTCTTTTGAGTTAAACTATGTTTATTTTGAGTTTATTTTGATTATCTTCCCGTATGAGGAAAACCTTGATTTATGCCTTTTGAGTTCGGCTGTTTTGTGCAATTTGATGTATTTTGGGAAAACCTGTTGCTTACGAAGCCTTGACCAAAATTATAAATTCTTTAATTATTTAATACTGACACCTCTAAAAAAAAACGTGTCCGTGTTAGTGTAGGAGTGAATATCGGACACCAACACCTACACCGACACTTGTAATTATTTGTAATTTATGAATTTTTTAAATTATTATCAATTTTGCCGTGTCTGTTTGAAGTGTCTGTATTTTATAATTCTCTAACCTATGTGATCTTTCATTATCTACCATAGAAATTTAGATCTGATTCTTAAGGTTGAGTTTAATTTCTATTTTTTTAGAAATTCTGTTTTTTTAATATATATATATATATATATATATATATATATATATATATATATATATATATATATATATATATATATATATATATATATATATATATATATATATATATATATATATATATATATATATATATATATATATATATATATATATATATATATATATACACAAAGGGGATACAAGTTTTTGGTATGACTTATTTTTCTACCATTTTTACCCTTACTTTATTATGTAATTTACTTAATAACTTCTTATTATTAACTTTCATATAACTTCTTATTATTAACTTCTACATATTGTATTTTTAAAAAAATTTATTTAAACAAAAAATATCGTTTATATTTTCATTCATGCGCATTTAAAAAGCGGACAGACGGGCCTTGCGTGCCCGTCTGGACGCTAGTATATATAAAATACATTTCATATTTTTTATTAGATGTTATTATCTATACAATATATAAAGGGAATATTTGTTTTAGTGCGGCTTATTTTTCTACCATTTTTACACTTACTTTATTATGTAATTTATTTAATAACTTATTATTATTAACTTCCATGTAACTTCTTATTATTAACTTCTACATATTGTATTTTTTTTAAAATTTTATTTACACAAAAAATATCGTTTATATTTTCATTCATGCGCATTAAAAAAACGGCGTGTCCGTCTAGACGCTAGTGTCTAATAATTTTTATGATCAATTTTCAAAATTCTCACTTTTAAAAATGAATTAATATATAAGTAAGTTTTAATATTTTAATGCCATATAAAGTTTTAATGTTTTAATGTCATAGTAACTAATATATAAGAAAGTTTTAATTTATTGTTTTAAAATTGTTTTATTGTTATAGTAATTTATTTTTTTAATCTCATAACAGTTAATATCATAATAAATAATGGTAATTTACTACATCCTTATAATTAATTAAGTAATTTATTGAGTAAATAATGATAATTATTTTTTAAGATATTGAGTAATTTCTTTTTGTCCATTGTATAATTATAATTAAATATATTTTATTATGTATTAAATATTTATAAAAATATTAATAAATTTAATATTTTACTCTAAAAACGAGTCAAAATTTTCAAATTTTAAATTTAATTTCAAAAATCGTTATTTATTTAAAACTTTGTTAATAAATTATGATTTTATGTTGGTATTCCAATGAATAAAATATTTGTAATAATACTTACAAAAATTACGAGACTGGAAGAAAAAATATATATCTACGAAAATAAGAGAACTATTGAAAAAGAAAAATGATATCATTGATAATATAATAAAGTATATATGAGACAATATTTTTATAGGAAAATGAAGTTATTAATACTATTTTTAAAATTATTTATGTTACTAATATTTTTATTTTAAAATTATATTTTATGTATATTCAAATATGATTAAAATGTTTTATTAATAATTTGATTCATAATAATTTTATTAATTAATAATATTTTTAATAATTTATTTTTTTATTATGAAAATTATATGAAACTATGGATCCAAATCAGTATCCGTGTATATGAACTTATTTACTACGTGGAAATATATAATATTAAAATAAAATATTTAGATTAATGTATGTATTAAAACACAGAAAAAATATGTTATTTTTTAATTATTTATGTTATTTATATTTTCATTTTTAAGTTATTTTTAATTTAACATACACTATTTGTTAAGAAAATAAATGGAGGTTGAATTGTATATTATTGATGTAATAAATTGACTAATATATGAATAATTTTCTTTTTTTTTTCTCTATTAATTCTTATTACATTTTGAAAACAAATGCGCATAACTCACCACATATATTTGGATTAGAATTCGTACGAACGCACAAATTATTACAATTATGGTATAATTAAAAAAAATAAAGATAAATATACTTAAAATAATATATGAATTTAAATACGGGCAAAATATATTTATTTAAGATTTAATTGAAATGCATTAACAGTATAAAGAAATTTTACACTGTCAATTAATTATAGACGTTGAATGATGGAACAAATTTGACTTTTATTTTAACAACTTATAAAACAATGCAAACGGATGATGATGAATTGATAGTGTAAAATTTCTTACACTATAGATGCATATTAATTAATCTTATTTATTTATATTACTATTATTTATTTATACAATTAAAATAATATTTACAAATATTACATTATTATTTGATATTTATAAAACTAAATTATAATACAAATATTTTTATAAAAAATATCAAAACAAAATTAATATTTACATATTCCAAAATGCAGTTGATCCAAATATTTGTATTTATGAAAAAAATATTTATACTCCAAATATAAATAAAAATATAATTTTATTTTAAAAATAAAAAACTTTCACAAGTATAATAATTTTGTCTTCTTGTTTATTCTGAAGTTCGTGGATATTGATTTTATTTTTTCTAATATAAATTATATCTTCTAGATTTATTAAATTTTTATTAATTTAATTTTTAATTTTAAATATAAATAAATGCACTACCGTCTAATATTCGTGCGAATTCACAGAAATCTCCTCTCATTCAAGTAAGTTTGAAATTAGTGTCCCACACTTTTATTACTCTTCGATTTCTCTCTCAAACCAAACAAATTAGGCGGAAAACGAACATACTAACCACAGCCGAAGTAAGTCTCTTTCACCCTCCGCCGCTCCCGCGCCGTCGCTCCCTCTCTCTCTCTCTCACACTTGCACCGCCGTTCCCTACTCAGTGTCACAGGTATCTCACATCAATTTCAGTTCTTTTTTACTTTTTCAATTTCTTTCCTCAATATTCCCTTATTTACTGAAACATTGACGCATAGGGTTTATTGTTAATGTGATTAAGGAGACGTTAATTAGTTTGTTTATCTTTTGAATAAATTCTGATGAGAGTTTAACTGATGAAGAATGAATTTAGGTTTGTTTCCTTAGGTTTTGAATAAATTCCGGGTTTATTGTTAATACTGCAGCTTTTCTTGTGATCAGTTGAGTGAGTTCAGAACGAAGAGTGGTTTTAATTTTATCAATTTTATGGAGATCGACAGACCTGACGGAAGGACTCCCAATCAACTGAGGCCCCTAGCTTGCTCTCATTCCGTCCTCCACCGAGCCCATGGCTCAGCCACATGGACTCAAGGAGAAACGAAGCTCCTTGCTGCAGTTTACGGACCTAAAGCCGGAGCCAAGAAGAACGAAAATCCCGAAAAAGCTTCCATTGAAGTTATTTGGAAGCCTAGTACAGGGCATGTTGGTCAAGCCGAGAGGGAGTATGAAATGATATTGAAGAAAACCTTGGAAAGCATCTGCATTCGAACCGTATATCCCAACACCACCACTTCTGTTATAGTCCAGGCAAGTTTTTTGGTCCCTCTAATTTATAAGAATATTTTATTTTTTAACTGGCTTGTTACATTTTGTGAGTGAACATTCCTTCGGTCTAATGCAGGTAGTCCATGATGATGGTGCTGTATCCTATTTAAACATGCACTTCTTATATATGATCTATGTAGTGGTAATTGTTTTCGTTACAAGTCTTATTTTTTGTTTGGAAAATATTCAATTCTACTAGTTATGATTTGAATTTCTATTCCTGTGATATTTGTTCCTAAGGATTTTAGTTTCTGCTCAAATTTAAATGATTTTCATTTTTCAATTGGCTGGAGGAAATGAATATATTTTGTATATTCCCCAAATTTCTACAGTTATTCCTCTTTTGCTATTTTCTAACCTAAGGCTCAATGTCCAATTATTGAAATGACTAATGAGTGCTTGACATTGAACATGAAGAGAGGTGAGTGATTCAGTTCAGAGGCAAGTTTTATGTTGTACTTTTTTAGGACTGTGAAGAAACAAAAGTAGGTTTACCATTAATACCTTCTTGTTTATGCACTATAGTGAGTTTGTTTTTTATCACGAAGAATGGAGACCTAATGAGATTAATGTATTTAATAAATATGGTTCTGGATCATTTGCTTCTTTTTCTTGACTTAATATTTAGCTTCTTCCATGTGCAATAAACGCAGCATGCGCTGCACTCGTTGATGCCGGAATACCCCTAAGACATCTTGCTGGTAGTAGAGACTTGTTGGTTATTGTTTTTTGGTTACTTCTAAGATTTCATTTTGTTAAGAAATAATTAATTATCTTGTTTCTGCAGTTGCAATATGTTGTTCTGTAACAGATAATAACTGTATTATATTGGATCCTTCCAAACAAGAAGAGAAGGTTCGTATATTCATTTTTGGTCAATTTTAAAGCATTTTTTATTTTTACCTTATTTTTAGTGAACTCAGTTAGGTAAACAAAGTTTGGTCTGCATTCACTACATTTACGATGAAGTATTCTAAATACCCTGTGGATAATGATTGAAATATTTATATATTTTTCTTTCTTCCGGAATTGTTGTCATTAGTTCATAACAACCCTTTCCCGAACTATATATATGTCACATATATGTTGTATGAATCTCATTGATGTTGTAAGTAAAGCTAGCTCCTTTTACATCCGCTGAGGTTTGATTAACTTAACTGCTTTTACCAAGAAACGTAAAGAATCTTGCATTTGTTTTCTACTGCATAACATTGTTAACACTAGGGCATCTATTTAAACAGTACAATTTCCCCCACCAAACCACACCCGCATCCTTATCTAGTGCATCTATTTAAACAAAACAGTTTCCTCCACCAAATCCTCATGCTTGGCCCTGCCTGCTTGTTATCACTGAAGGGCAAAGGCAGGGAGCTTACTTCAAAACCTGGATGCTTCCATTCAGTTGTATTTTCTTGATGCCTGTGATGACCTAATTTTCTGTAAAGTGGTGAAACACTGTTCTTTCTTTGCCATAGGATTTCTAATTCTGAGCGTGCAGCTCTATCTTTAGTTGAAATTATGTCATGATTTTGGGGTTGTTGCATGAACTAAGAGCATGGTAAATCCTGATGGAATTGGGTGGAATCTCCCCTGTTAATCGTTTGAGTTGTATAACCTACACGATCTTTGGAAACGTTCTGTGATTCTGATCTCCTTCCCCTGTTAATGAGTTATGAATTTGCACACCTTTACTTATTGACTTTCTTATGCTATTATGCAGCTATGCTTACATGAGTATTTCAATTGATTTAAGGTTTTCTGTTTCACTAATGCTATTTTATATGCATATATGAGTTTTATGAATTTCGTATAATCTTTCAATTAGTATTACTATTCCACGATTTTACTCCCCCTTTCTGATTTTGTGTCAAATCTCGATTTAGATGAGTGGGTTTTATCATACATGCTGATGGGAAATCAGGGTTGATTGAGTTCATGGTGGGTGCCTCTGTGTGAGGCATTGTGCTAAAGATTCTTATTATTCTAACATCTACTTGGCTCAGTTGTGTGATAAGCTGCAGTTTAGAGTTCTTCCTTTACCGCGCGACGGGTTAGATTTTCTTTCTATTGTGATCCATGTAGCCGGACTTAGTGGGATAAGGCTCGGTTGGTGGTTGTTGTTGTGATGAAATTCTGCTTTTGACATGTAACTTCATGGCTCTATATTCTATGTTCTCCTGATTTAAAAATCCTGAGCTCATTAGTACTATGGGCATTTACTTACCATTTCATAGTTTTGTTTAGTATAAAAATAAAACTGCCCTACTGACACAATTTTGCATACAAGAAATAGTTGGGTTCCTAATTGAGTTGGATAATTGCATGCTTATTAACTGTGAAGTCTCCCTTGATCATGTCTATGATACCCCTACAGTTAAAATATTGAAAAGTTAAACCAAAATTCAGCTGTGTAAATAAAACTAACTAATTGAATTTTTGGGGTAGAATATGCATCCAATAGACAATGTGTAGTTTAGTGCACCCATAGTTGTCAGACTCACAAGTGAGTCAACTTGTAGACTCAAAGTCTAGGAGGCTAAAGCGAGTTGACTCGCACTTAGACTCGTTTTTGTGGTAGACTCGGTCAACAAGGATAGGCTCATACAAACTTGGACATATTTCGCAAGTCTAAGGCAAGTTTACGAGTTTGGTATGATTTTGAAGAAAAAATCCCAAAACATGTTGGGCCGTTTCACCAAAAAAGCCTTAAAAGAAGTTAGAGGACCTTTGTTATCGCTTCCTTTTCGTTTTAGAAGTTAGAAATCTCATATGAACAACAAATCTTTCTCCCTACCCCCACTCCCTCTTGCATTCACAATGCACATTTCTTGTCATCTCTAGTTCACACCGCAATTTCTTGTCGTTTCGAGTTTGCCCTTGTGTGTTTCTCGCAGTCTCGTGTTTCATTCCTATGGTTTGTTTTAAGTTTTCTGCTTTGCTCTTTGTGCTGTCCTGTGTTCTGTTCTTTTGCTCTGCTTATTTGTGTTGATCTTTCAATTTGTTTCTCTATTCAATGTGTTGTGAGTGCTTACTGCTTGTGTTACTCACACCTCTATGTTTATTGTTTGTGAGTGCTCTGGTTTCCTGTTGTTTTTACATCCCTATTCTCTAAAATGTTTGACTTTTTGTTGTTCTGTGTTTTGAAGCAATGTTAATTTATTCCATTTGTTTCGTTTGCTAGTTTGATTGTTGTGTTATGGAGTTTGTTTTGATAAAAATTATTATGGTGTTTGAAATTGAAATTTCTATGTGAATTGGTGTTCTATTATGTATAACTTGACAATCTTGAGTGCAACTCTGCATATAGTATTTTTAGGTCACAGCCCATATCTGTGGCATAGTTGTTTATATCTTCAAGTCCCAGTTGTATAAACAACTTCATTAATTGGAAACCTTGACCCCATGTTGCTTGTACACCATTCTAATTCAATGCATTTTTGTTTTCTGGCAGAAAGCGAAAGCATTTGCCTATTTAGTTTTTCCAAATACAACTGTTTCTGTCGTACAAGAGAAATCATTGCAAGCAGGTAATGATCCCACGGCACACGGAATCATCACATCTGTTACACATGGTGCTATGTCAGGTATTCTGCTACACTTCCTTTTAACCGAAAGTTAATGCTTCAATAGAAATGTTGATGCCAAGTGTTCCGTATGTTTCCATTTTCCCAGCACTGGCTTAATTCTCTAGCACATGATTCCATAGACTCTGTCCTTATGTAGGTTTAACTTTCTAATATTGGATATAATAATTAATTTTCTACTTAATTTTCTTTTAGTGGATAATTATCTTCATTGCCTAGAACGAGGGCGTGCCACAACTCAAAGGTTGTCTGAATTTTTGAGGAAGAACCTAGAGCCAAAATCTATCCGCGAGGCATCCAAAGCTGGATGATTTACAAACATTTTGAATGTACTAGCTTACTTGTATCTAATTTTTCCCTTACAAGGGTTGAAGAAGATGGAATATTTTGTAGGACAATTTTTGTGATGTATTTGCTCTATTCCTGCTAGCTATCTAAATTTCTGATTAGTTTTGTAGCTCTACAACATAATGAAATTGCTATTAATTTATGTTTGATTATAAAATGGCCAGAGTCGAACTGTTCTTTCATGACCTCTTCATTAGCTACTGTGTTGGAGCTAGTATTTTTGGGCTTTGTTTTGATGCATAATTCTGCAGAAAACAGAGGGAATAATCAATTTACTGGTGTACACCTTTGCAGCACGTGTTTTACCTCATGTAATCATTTTTGAATGCATTGAATACAGTCTTTTAGGTCTTTAGAGAATGATTTTATGGTTTCATTAACATTTTCAAATACTCTATCAGTCTCAAAATGAGTATTCTAATTTACCATTTTAAAGAGAATGAGAAAATTCTATAAATGATAGAGGGAATAATACTAGCATCTTTATCTTGTATTCACCTTACCATGAAGTCATAAATGCAGAGTGAATAATATTGAACTGATAATATATAGTATCGCTAGAAATATGTATTAGGTGTTAGAATTAGAAAATAATAATATTGTATCATATGTAACTGAGTCAATGAAAGACTATTAAAGGATGTTGCTGAGATTAAAAAAAGAAAAGAAAATGGTTAGATCATTTTCAGAGGCGTTTTGAGGGCAGAGGCGAAAGACCTTTTCCTCGCCAAAATTGATTTTAAAAAAGTGGTAGAAGAGGATATATAGAGAGCTTAATTAGAGAGTTTTCATGAGACGAAGTAGACATTTACTCTGCCAATCTTGATTTTAAAAAAGTGATAGAAGAGGATAGAGAGAGCACTTAATTCCAAAGTTTTTAGAAGGCAATAGGATCAACTTTATTTATGAAAGAGTTTTAGGAGATATCAAAGGTAGGGGTGGCAAAAAGGTATTTCCGTTTAGGTTTGTTCAGCAAAAGTTTGAAAAATAATGCGGCGGAGCGGTGAGGAAATTATATAGGGTGCGTGGGTAAAATTTTGGTCCGATTTGTAAAAAAATGAGGGTGGGACGGATATGCAGGCATTGCACCATTTTAGTCTAAAAATTATAAAATTTATGTTAATAATTGTGCCTGCAAAAACTCGAAAAAAAAGTGGTGAGACAGACATATTAAAGGGTGTGAGTCTAAAATTTTGATCTGCCTTGCAAAAAAATGATGACAAAACAGACATGTTGATCAGTGCATTTTAATGTACCTTCTTCTATGTTTAGACTTAGGCATTTCTACCATTTAGTTTATTTAATTTCCTATTTTATAATGTTTTTACAATTTATTTTATTTTAAGCTTTATTTAATTTTCGTTTGTTATTTTTCAGCATTAACAGCTTTTAGTGAAAAATTCATAACTGGAGCTACAGGAATCGGATTGAGGCATTCTACCAGTCGTTGGAAAGCTAAGAAAGAGATCTACAACTTTCATGTTGTACAAAGGAGCTGATTCGAATTTCTTGAGTCTCGAATAATTCGTTGAAGTTTCTGGCTTGTGACAATGTAGTTTTCCTTGCGGGCCTAGTTTAGGTTTCTGGCCCAGTTATTTTCTATTTAAAGTTGTTGTTGTGATGCAAAACAGGGACCTAGTTTATTTTTCCAAATTTTTTCCTTTGTTTTATAGTTTTCATGGAGAACTAATACCTCCGGGCAAATCCTGCTGTGTACGGTTTCAACACTTTGAGGTTATTATTATGTCAATTTACTCTGATTCCTTTCAATCCTTTTCTATGAAGTCATCTGCTTAATTTGATTACAATTGTTTGCTTAATTCAATTGTTGTTCATAGGATAGAATTGGTTAAATTCGATTGTATGCATGTTCCTGAATTTAATTGCGTGTTATCGTTTGCTTAATTCGTTAATTCGTCATATTCTTAACCGCTTGCTTAATTCGGTAAACATGAACATAATTCATTTGATGTTGATAAGCGCTTGTCTGATTAATATCATAATCGAATAGGATTGGTACCGCTTAGGGATTGATATTATAATAACCGATAATAAGTCGGAACCCGAATCAGTAGGATTAGCCGTTTTAGTTTATCTAATAACCATTTTTTTTAATCACTTTTTTTTCTTATTTTATAAATCAAAACTTAAAACCCCCATAAACATTTTTTTTAGTTGGTTGAAATAATACAAGAATCCTTGTGAGAACGATATTTCGAGTCATTTGTCGCTATATTACATTTTTATCAAAACTACTCGTTTTTGATCCGCGAGCGACCGCGGATCAAATTGGCGCCGTTGCCGGGGATCGAAAAAAAAGTGGTGAGACAGACATATTAAAGGGTGTGAGTCTAAAATTTTGATCTGCCTTGCAAAAAAATGATGACAAAACAGACATGTCTAATATGTTAGACCTCTTTTGCCACTCCTAATTAAAGGCACAAATTGTCCATTCTTGGTGCTCATACCAAAGAAAAAGACTATGTCAAAGATCTCATATTATCGATCAATATCTCTGATTGGGTGCATTTACATAGTGTTATCTAAGGAGTTGGCAAATAGGCTAAAAATAGTAATTGATATCATCATTTCGAAAACACAATCTACGTTCATTGCATGTAGTTAGATTCTTGACGGGATGCTAGTGGCAAATGAAGTTGTGAATGAGGCTAGGAGAAAGAAGAAAGAAGAGATACTCTTTAAAGTGGATTTCGAGAAAACATTCGATTCAGTGTGATTGGAATTTTTTAATATTCGTGATGGAAAAAATGGATTTCACAAAAAGTGGCAGAAGTGTATATTATAATGCTTAATATCTTTAATAATTTCGATTTTAGTTAATGGTAGTCCAACTAAGGAGTTTTAGGTGGACTGTGGTATAAGATAGAAGATCCCCTCGCTTCTTTCTTATATTTAAAAATCAAAGCAGGAGGCTTTAGCTTAATGATAAAGAAAGCTATTAACATAGGGAAGTTTATTGTATTCGTATTTAAATATGGAGATCATCAATTCTCCCACCTCCAATACGCACACGACACCATGGTAATATGTGAGAAAAGATGGTCCAACATAAGAACAATAAAGGCAATCTTATTACTTTTTGAATCGACGTCCGAACTGAAAGCAAAACTTTAAAAGAGTGTGTTGTAAGCGATTAAACCTCAATTTTAGTTGTTGTTAGAGGCAACAAACATACTTTATTGTAAAATAAGCTCTTTGTCACTTTTTAGATGAAGGCGACTTATTTAGAGGGGGTGAATAGATCCCAAATTAAAAATTGTTTTAAAAATCTATTTTAAAAAATTAACGGCTAGCGGAAGTGACCCGAATCAAATCATCTAAACTGAACTGCTATAAAAAAACTTAGGATATGCGTATATGAAAGCCAATTGATGATAATGATAAAAAAAATCAATCAATATGCTTTAATCACAACCATTTGAATGCAACTCAACAAGTAAAATCATTTTTCAATGATAATAAACACAAAAACTTGATTGAGACAAATAGTCAAACACCTTATGTGCAATTAATTTCGTTTCGAATTTTGTATGGTTTTGTTGATTTGCAAATCCAACCACAATAAAATGAATTGTGATCAACTCAATAAAACATTTTTCAAAGGATATAAAAAAGTTTAAGCAAACGTATTGATCGCACAATCAAAGAATTCAACAATTTGCAAATGAAAAATAAGAGAGAGAGAGAGAGAGAGAGAGAGAGAGAGAGAGAGAGAGAGTACAAAGATTTGCTTATAAAGTTCCTCAATCGGCCTCATTATGGGTACGCCTGCCCTTAATTCAAACTCGAATTGAGATAATGAAATTAACCTTACTTTGCAAATGTAGTTTATAAGAGAAATGTAACAATGCAACCCTACAAATCATATGTTTGATGTTGATTCTAACACTTTCTCTTCCTTTGATATGAGCTTGATCAAGTCACCCAACAATATCAATTTGATTCATCGTCTCACGCTACTCCTTTGCAAGAAACTCCGTTCTTCAGAGCCTTCAGTCAACGGAATTCAAATTGTGAATTATTGTAACCCAAGATTTACCAATTTAATTCACAGTCTCGCGCTACTCCTTTGCAAAAACCATTTGTTCTTCAAAGCCTTCTCTCGATCAAATCCAAATTGTGTAATATTGTCCAAAACCTTCAAATTCCCAATTGATTTTGAAGAAAAACTCCACCTTGATTTTCTCATTTGAAAACATCAAAGATCTCAACCTAATTTATAATTTACCAACCTAAATTGGACGTTATCAACTCTAAATTTAGATGACACCTAAATAATGAATGATTATGTGTACTTTGTTTGTGTGTATGCATAAAATAAAGGTTGAATATGGTGAGCACTCTTTGGAACCAATTTTGTTTATGATTTTTTCAAAATCACTAAAAATAAATGATACACACACACACACAGACACACACACACACACACACACACACACACACACACACACATGTATATATATTGTGTGTGTGTGTGTGTGCGCGCGCAAATTAAAAGCAAAAAAGAATGCAATAGATTTAGAAAATAATGCAAAATTTTAAGATTTTTATGTCGACCTATGTAAGTCATAAGTCAACCAATTTGATGCATGAGCTGACCTGTAAAGGTCATGTGCCAACCTATGTAGTCAGCACATTAAACAGAGGCTACAGACTTTAAAAATGGTGTACATGAGCTGACCTGAAAAAGATATGTGTAAACCTATAGAGAAAATTTCCTTATGTGTCGACCTATAATGCGTATGTGTTGACACATATCTGTTTTTCACATAAAAAATCAATTTTTGATGCATGAAAATTTTCTTTGATGCATGAACCTTTTTTAAACCTTTTCCAACATGTTGTTATACTTCTTAATGCTAAGATGCACATTTAGACTTAGAGGATATCGTTAAATATATATAAACACTAAAGTATCCTACTTTTGACATCATATAAAATA